CCTTGACGAGTCTACATCATGACTACACTGGCCACAACACAGGTCATCAGAGGGTTGTTGACCAGCCTTTGGTTCTTCAGTCTGGGAAATGCCCATGAAGATGCATGGCATCTAGAATAAAACAAGTCAGAGACATTCTCCAACTGACTTCCCAGTTCACCTTGCTTCTCATATATGTGAATTGCTTCTCTTTTGCTTCTGGTCCTGTCTCCCTTTTGAGTTCTGGCTAGTCATTCACACATCAGAAGCATGTAGCTGCCCCTGCTTAGGACACATTAGTCAGCCCAACATTAACCTGGATAACTACTGTGGGAATCTGTCCCCACAAAGCTACTTTCATCACCAGCTAACCAAGCATACCCATGAGGTACTCAGGAGGAAAGGCTAGTGTGGGAACCAACTCAGAGAAGTATCCCGAGATTGAAAATGGTTATCATCAGCATTGTTGGTCTGTGAGGCACCTAAGAGATCCATAAGCGTGCACTCTCTGCGTGTCTGAGGGTGTTTCCAGAGAGGATTAACTACAGGGTTGGAAAACCTACTCTGAATATGGGGAACATCTCCCCAAAGTCTAGATGACTGGATGGAATGAAAGGTAGGAAAGGAGAGCATCAGCATTTTCTCCCCCCAGTTCCTGGACACCACAATGTGAGGCATTTGCCTTCACACCCTCCATGCCAAGATTGTCTGCTCAGGTGTTTCTATTGCTGTCAAGAGATGAAGACATCAGCCTCTCTGCCTTTGTACATGCTTTCTTCCCACTGGTCTGAACCTCCTTTTCCATCTTTCTGGCCGCCTCATTCTTGCTTGCATATCACCAGTGCCTTTCACTTTAGATCACGTCTTTCGCTCCCTTTGGGATCCAACCTTAGCCCTTTCCTTGTTCCCATTGCCTACCCTGCCCAGGGAGAGCTCAGCCAGATGTACTCTGGTTCAATGGAAGTCTTCTTTCTGGAAGTCACACCTCTGATTCCTGTAAGGCGCCACTGATAGGGGTGACTCTGGCCTGCAGAGCTAGCTCTCCAAGCACCTCTACTTTCCTTAGCATCACCCTATTCGACTCTTGTAACAGGAGAGCAGGACCTTGTTCTTCCCGGCCACCTGGCTAGCTTAATCCCCGAAATAATCACACAGAAACTGTATTCATTTAAACATTGCCTGGCCTATTAGCTCTAACTTCTTATAGGCTAACTTTCACATCTTAATCTAACCCATTTCTCTTAATCTGTGTATCACCACAAGGTTGTGGCTTGCCGGGAAAGATTCAGCATGTCTGATTCTGGCAGCTCCACGGCAGTTCTCCCACTCTGCTTTCTCTCTCCCAGAATTCAGTTCTGTCTTCTCCGCCTACCTAAGTTCTGCCCTATTGAAAGGCCAAGGCAGTTTCTTTATTCAACCAATGAAAGCCACACATAGACAGAAGGACCTCCTACACTGGACTCTCATGTAGGTTTCCCTCAAAGCCCAAGGTCTTTGCCCAAAAGCAGGAGGAGTGCTTTTGAAGGACAGAGTTTTGCTCATGCGGGGAGGGAGCTCCTTGCCCATGACCGCTGGTCTTTCTTCATCCCACCAGCAGCAGAGCTATATTGCCTTCTCTAGCCCTCCTTTCTTCCACCCATCTCGGCAGCTTCTTCTAGGAGATTCAATGGAGCAGAGACTTGTGGGCACTAAGATCTGCTTGCCAAAGCACACCTTCTACATACCCAGTTCTTGATGTAACCAGGGACCACGGCAGTCACTACACATAATCTCACTGGTTGTGTGGCTTTTCTCTGCCACCTCTGCCCGAAGTGGGTGCGCTGACTGCTCTGAGTTTGATGGGAAGAAGTAGGGGATGCTTCTGCGATGTCATAGAAACGAGAAAAGCTCCATATGACAAAACCCTTTTAGAATGTCGTGCCAGGGAAAATGCTCATTTCCTCAAACAAAAGGTACACTTCTGCCTTTTAAGAAAAAAAAATAACGACGTGAACTCAGTTTTTGTCCTCCCCCTGGGTACAGTGAACCAGGAGTAATGACAAAATTGGAGGGGTTCCAGTAGCAGGCCGGTGGTCTCTGATAGTGTCTCGGGGGGGAATCTTTTTGTTTGCTTGGACCAGAGCCTTCTGGGCCCCCACCCCCTGCCTTCATATTGACTTCAATCTCTGCAAAAAAACAAAACAAAACAAAAAACAAAAAACAAAAACAAAAACATGACCATAGGCATTCTAGAAGCCCAGGAAGACCCTGGAGATCAGTAGGGTGTAAGAGGGAGGTGGCACAAGCATTAGCGACATTCACTAGTCCCTGCCTTCGCGGACAACCCGGTGGAGAAGTATGAACCGTGACTGAGTACGAAAGACAAGGAAATCTGTTTGTATTCGAGAAGGCCAATTTTTCACAAGCTCAGGGTCTCTCTAGGATGGAGATGAATTAACTTTCTTCCCCTCTTTAGCTACTGCAGCCACAAAGGCTCCCCTGCCCTGGCCATCCTAGTCATTTGTCCCTTGATGCCCCCCTTCCAGCCCCTCTGCTCCATTCCATATGGAAGGAGCCCTGCTCTCTGCTTAGATTTCGCCTGTGGGTTAGAGTGTGTAGATCCTGCCCCCCCCCCCCCCGGGGGAGTGGTCAGGGGATGGGAAGGCAGGGAGGGACAAAGGAAGCCTTCCTCAGCTTTATAACAGCATCGCAGGAGGCGGGCTTCAGCTCCAGCAGCGGAGACAACGGCAGTGGAGACCTTGGGTGTTTGAATAGCACCATGCTTAGAGAGCCTTGGCTTAGACGGTGCTGGGGTGACAAGAGGTCGTCTGGCATCCTGGCCCCCACAACATCAGGAAGAGGATTAACATGCAGCTTCCCTAGCACCACAGTGTGAACAGAGGGCCCCTGAGCCACTTCCTCCTAATGAGGGAGTCCCAGAAGATAGTCATTTTCCTTGTTAGCGCTTTCTCTGGGGGCACAAGTTCCCAGAGCTCCAGTCTCTTGCAAACCTCATGACTCCCCTTCTCCTGCTTTAGCCTTCAGAATGCTTTAGTATCCAATGGCCGGCATTCGCTTCCTGTAGCTGCAGCCCACAGAGCAACTTCCGCAGTCTGGACCGCATGCTGACTGACAAGTCTTCCTTCTGTGGGTCAGGGGAGCACCCAGCCTCTGCCTACACATGTTGAAGAGGCTTCTTCAACTAAAAGAGTTTCTTCCCAAGGTCTTGGGGACAACCATTTTCCCACCCCTGCCATTCTGTTGAGAACTGTGGGGGGGGGGGATGCCAATGGCTGGGCCAGTGTCATTTTTTCCTCCCATACTGTTACCAACTTCCTCTCCATGGGACCATCTCCATAAACTAAAAATAAGTTTCTTCATGACTTGGAGAAATTAAATATGTTGATTTTTGGACATGGTTCCTGAGGCCTGCATTAGGGTTCAGAAGCATGGGATTCTTGGCCCTGTAAGAACAAAGCAGGAAACTCTCTGCAGGGGAGAGATCGGGAAGATTTGCCCCCTCCCCAGCCCAGGTCCCCCGCGCCCCGGAACATGGCTGTGCTGGCTACTAAATACGAAGACCTATTCCGGGGCCTCCCCTCTCTATTTTCAGATCCTCTATTCACATGGCACTCTGATGTCAACCAGCGCATCTCAGGCCTTCCTTTTCCTTGCCTGTGAGAAAGTAAATATTAGTAAAAGTCTGGGCCTGGCTTCTGCAGTGCCAATTGTCATCAGGACTGCCACCGCACAGCTTCCTGTCCTGATTCATCCCACAATGAGATACAGAGGATGTTTACATATGTCTTGCCAAGGAACAAGCTGTCTCCTTAGAGATATGGGTATAACTTTTTAAATAATTTACTTTTAGCTTAAAGCATAAGTCGAGGAGTACGATGGTTTGAATGGAAGTGGTCCTCACATGCGCATATATTTGAATACTTGGTTCCTATGTCGGTGGAGCTATTTGGAAAGGATTAGGAGGGGTGGCCTTGTTGGAGGTGAGATACTGGGGGTGGGCTTTGAGGTTTCAGAAGACCTACATCCATCATCCCCAGTGCCTTCTTTTTTGTTTGTTTATTTTCGTTTTTATTTTTTGTTTTGTTTTGTTTTTCAAGACAGGGTTTCTCTGTATAGCTTTTGAACCTGCTCTGGAACTCACTCTGTAGACCAGGCTGGTCTAAAACTCACAGAGATCTGCCTGCCTCTGCCTCCCAAGTGCTAGGATTAATAGCGTGCGCCACCACCACCCGGCATCGCTTTGCCTTCTACTTAGGGATCGGGAGGTAAGTTTTCAGCTCTTCCTGCTGCCATGTCCTTGCTCTGACATCATGGACGCTAAGCCTCTGATAACATGAGCCTAAATTACACACTTTGTTTTGTACGTTGCCTTGGTCACGTGTTTTATCATAGCAATAGAAATGTAACTAAGATAAGGATGGCTGTACATCACCAGTTATAAAATTCTAGTTATTTTCTTTGGTTCTTTATGTCCTCCCAGATCCTGGTGACCACTCATCTAGTTTATGTTTCTGTGGATTTTTCTGGCATGAATCTTCCTATAAGTGGAATCTTACCATGCAAGAAATGTCACTGCTTCCCATCTGGCTTATTTTACTTCCTGAAGTGTTTTTCAGGTACATTTATGGTGTATTGGGGGTGTGTGTGTGTCAATAACTCCTTAATAACTTCTTAACATCCCATTGTATGGATATGAAACTTAATGAAATGTATGCCTGGCAATGCTGAAGCAGGCAGGCATGGGCAGCTCGTATATGGCAATTCTGTTGAACTTGTCCGTATTGGGTTTCATGGTCTAAGTTGATGAAGATGACTGGCCAGGCATCTTATACTACATTTTAATTTTCTATTTATTAGTTGACGGTCATCTGATGTGATGGTCATTCTCATAAACAGCAGGGTTTAGAATCACTAGGAGATAAGGTTCTAGGCACACTTCACACTTGTGAAAGACAGCAAAAAAAAAAAAAAATACAGAAAATTGGTACCAAGAAGCAGGAACTGTTACTGGGATAAATCTTACCTTGTGATTCTTAGGCTTTTGGAACCGGTGGAGAGAAGAAATGCAAAAGAGTTGGAGACTTTGACTGGAGAATTCCCTGCACGCTTCCAGGAGAGCTTATTGGGCAATTCTGATAGGAACTTAGAAGGCAAGAATTCTAAAAGACAATGCTGACAGTGAGACTCGTGAGGTTTGGTGGGGAGCAAGGACTCTGTGTGGAACTAGGCAAGGAGCCACTTGTGTGACAGACATCCTGGCAAAGACTCTGGCTGCTCTCTGCCTGTCCTGAGAGCTGGGGTGAGGCTGAGTTTGAAGGCAATGATCTAACTCACTTGCAGGAGGAAGTTTCAGACAGGAGGGTATCCAAGCTGTGGCACAGGCTTACAGTGAGAGACAGTAAAAACTGGAGCAGAAAGGACAGGAAGGGAAGGAAGGTGTGGGCAATTTCAAGTTTCAGTCAAGGAGGGTGCTGGTAGTGACACATTTGTAATTGTTAAAAATATTAGAAACATTAAAGAGAAATGCAGCGTTTGGAACAGCTGGAAAGCATTGTGAGGGTAAGATCGTCCCCATCAAGGCTTTGCCTTGTGAAAATGCTAAACTCAGGTTGTTGCTTAATGGTTCCTGACCTTCAAAACACCTGTCCCTGGAAATGCGCTCTAGGTCAGCACACAGAGGCTGATGCAACTAAGTTTCAGGCAGGCCAGGCTCCACCCCCGGCTGGCAGCAAAACTTGGCATCTTCATTGTCTTGCTTTGCCAGCTTCTCTTTGCCCTGGTTTTGTAGGCATGAATGATTACGGGGATTGTGGAATCTTACTCCACAGTTTTAGAGAGCCACTGAGCATTGGAGATGGCAGGACCATGGGACATGCACAAAGGGAAGCTTTAAACTTGGAGTGGAGTTGGCCCCAAGGAAAGATCCTGTGTGCTACAGGCAGAAGAGCTGAATGAGAAAGGAACCCAGACGCTTCCATCATGAGCTCCAAATGCCTGACATGGAACCACAGGATGCATGCCCTTCTGGGTTTAATGTGGATCTGATCATTCTTTCTGGGACCCTGTTCTTCCCTTGTAGGTAGGAATGTTTATTCAATGCCATTATATGTTAAAAGTAATGTATGTGTATGTTGCTTGAATAAATATGTGCAGGTTTGCGCATGTGTGCAAATGGATGCAGAAGTCATATGAGAGTGGGTATCTTGTATAGAAAATGCTTTTACCTGATGAACCATGTTTCCAGTCCATGTAACTTGTTCTTTGCTCATGTAGTGTCTCATAGAGATTTCCTGAATCTCAGAAGAAGCTCAGCACTTATACTCTTAAACAGTTTTGGATCTGTTACAGTCTATGGAGTCTTTTTGTCTTGGACCGAATGCATTTTTTTTTTTTGCATTATAAAATGGCCCTAAGCCTATAACGACAAAGAGAAGAAGGTTATGGCTTAAAGTGTGCACGTCATTTGACAAGGGGTAGAGTTGCCATGGTTAATGTTGCCAACCAGACAGGATCTAGAGTCATTCAGGAAACAAATCTCTGGGCATGCCTGTGGGAGATTACCTAGATTAGGTTAATTGGGGCAGAAAGGCCCCCCTTAACTCTGAATGGTGCCATTCCCTTGACTGGAATCCTGGACTGAATAAGGAGAAACATGAACAAGGGCTAGAACAAAATTGTCACTTTGCTTCTCAGTGGCAGACACAATGTAACCAGCAGCCCCAGGTTTCCCACGTTTCCTCAGCACCATGATGGACTACCCCTCAAATCAGAAGCCAGAATAAACCCTTTCTCTTTTGTTTCTTTGATCAGGATATTTTATCAGAGAGACAGGACAAATAGGGAATACACCTGGGTTGTTTCTCCTCTCAGACGAAGATGAATAGTGCTGCTGTGAATGCTCATCGAGACAAGCTCCTGTGTGTGGAGAAACTCTCAGTTTTACTGGACTGGGGTTGCTTAGAGGAACTAGACCATGTGGCAACCTGAGCACAGGGCTGACAAGAGGCTATCAGGGGCCAAACACATGCATCGCTCTCACCCAGTGGGCAGATGCAATTTCAAGAGCTTTGACGCCAGGTCAATAAGTTATTATGGATGTGGTGAGTTTTGAATGCTTATTACTTTTATTTAATAGAATGTTTAGCTAATTCTGTGTTTCTATAATATATAATTTTAAAATAATGACTATACAGGGGCTAGAGAGATGGCTCAGTTGCTTAGAGCACTAACTGCTCTTACAAAGGACATAGATTTGGTTCTCAGCACCCACATGATGGCTAACAGTCACCTGGAACTCCAGTTCTCGTGATCTGGCACATTCTTCCAGTCTTCTTGGGCATCTGCACATACATAGGGCACATATATACACTCGGGCATACCCACATATGCAAAAAAAAATCACAAAATTTTCTTGCTATTTCTCCCCGCTTTGAATTGGGTTTTAGATAGTCCAGGCTGACCTTGAACAGTCGATGTAGTTGCGGTTGGCATTGAACTTCTGATCTCCCTGATCTCCCACATGTTGAAGTTATAAGCATGTGTCACCATGCCCAGTCTGTGTGGTACTGTGGGTTAAATCAGGGCTTCATGCATATCAGGCAAATATTCTATTAACTGAGTTAAAACAGAGATCACTGCTGCTGACTCAGAAGGTCTTAGGTAGGCTGCTGACTCAACAAGTTCCCAGGTGATGCTGATCCTGCTGGGAGATTGAAGGTATGCCAGCACCCTTCAGTGTGCTTCCGTTCACAGAATGGGCCGGATTTCTCTCGGGAGAGTCAACCCTCAGCCCTGTTTTCAGGTAATAATCCCTGCCAGGGGACACAGGCATGACAGTTGGCAAATGCCTGCACACAGCGCCGAAACCTGAAGATGATGTGGTGGCTCCAACCCCCCCAAAGCAACCTATGAATCCTCACAGTGCCCTTTTCCCACCCCACCCCACCCCACCATCCTGGGCAAAATGTAAAAGGAGGAGGGGATGGCAAACAGCAGATCTATCACCAGATCTATTATTCCTAGGGACTGCACACGTGTCTGACTTACGTCACTGTGGAGACAGACTAGATGTTGGTGGACCAGGAGTTGAGGAATGAAGATGGAGTATGGAAAGTGAGGTTGCTTTTCAGCCTCCGCGAGCAAAAGCTAAGGAAAGCCAGAGGCTAGGTAGAGATTTCCAGAGGAGTACAGCCAGTAGGAGGTATACTCTCCCATACTAGATCTATATGTACGGACATCTATCATCTGTCATACAATTCTGGCTCCTGCACATTATGGAGGCTGAGAAAGCCCCACACGGAGCAGGAGACTCAGGAAAGTTTCTGGTGTGGCTTGAAAGCCTGAAAGCTGAGATCCTTGGCAGTGAATCCACACGTGACAGCCAGCGGCACTGAGGGCAGGCGATTATCATTCTGGTGGCATCTCATAATTTTGGTTTGCATTGACTTAATGGCGAACACAGTTAAGTACCTCTCCATCTGCCAGGAATATCCTTTTTAAAAAAACAATTTGGCAGTACATGTCAAAAATTACTGAATGTGCATATAATTTTATCATAATACCTTGATTCTGGAGTTCATTCCAAGAAACGATTATGGTTGGCTAAGAAGACCTCTGGAAAAGACAGTCACCTTTGCAGGAGGCAGGTAGGTCCTTGTTCTTACAGATAAGGACTAGAGAAACCAGAAAGGTCAAAGACACAGGGTTATCTATTCAAAGGAGAGATGTATAACCTGTATTCCACCCAGAAGGTTGGGCATGAATGAATGTGGCTTAATAGTCTGGTGACTTTTGTGTTATCTGTATGGGCAGGACACACTGGCTCCCCAAGACCCTTATCTTGAACATGTTTATCTCAATCAGTCTATAGCTCTACCCTCCCCCTTAATCAGGAGCATTGTTTACTTTGAACCTTTTCCCTCAGTTAATCTATAGAATCTATCTTTATGGAAAATGTCATTTGTATTTTGCAAGAGTGTCCATGTGTTCTTGTTTTAAGGTTTGTCGTGTGCACAGGGTTAAGTTAATCATTATCAGGAAACTTATTCACAAATTGTGCTGTGCTTAAATATGTTTAAAATAAACTACCTTGTGTCAGACTCTTTCTTGAACCAACACTGGCTACTGAGTCATGTTGAACCTGACTTCCCTCTTGTCTCTCATGGATCAACACTCTGTTGGCTGTGGTGTTTGCAGAGACCCCCACACAACATATTATGTAGCCGTGGCGGTTTCTGCAAACAAAAGTTCAACCTTATGGGCAGAGCTCCTAAGAAATAGTGTCTTCCAGATATAACAGGGCCACTATATTTATGGACTCATAGTAACTCCGGTAACTTTCATAAGACCTGTACAAGATCAAGCCAATCAACAGTCCAGCCTGGATGAGGGGGGGCACGAAAGGGTCCACTTTGAGCTGAGGAGTTATTTATCATTAATGGCTCCTGACAGTCAGTTTCCTAAGGGATAGTCCTTGACAGGTTTCCCATACTCCAGTGGGTGACCCACATCTAAGCACACAAGGACAATACTGATTAGACTCAGTGTGTTACTAGAAAATTTAATGGGCAATTGGGAGAGGAACATGGCTGGAAGTCCAGGAGGAGCTGGAGGAGGAATAAAGGCAATTGTAATCAAAATATATTGTTTATATGTATGACATTCTCAAAGAATAAATTAGAACATTAAAAAAGTCCAACCACTGAGCATTGATTAAATGAATCCATTCATGAAAGGCAACCTGATAAAAAAAATTGGAAATAATTATATGAAGACTAATGACATGGCTGAATAAAAATGCAGACTATGAAAGATAAAACCCTAAATATATTTTAAAATGTATAAATATATGGAGAAGGAAGCTCTAAAGATACGACCCAAAATGTTAACAGTGAAATAGATGTAGAAAACCAAATGGACAATGCATCGATCCTTCCAAAATAAAAATCCCCAACAGGATTACTATGTGATATTGGATATGGTAAAAAAAAATTAAAATCAGGGTTTCAAACAGATATCTGTAGACTGTGACCCTGGCAGCATTATTCACCATAATCAAAGGGTGGGCATAAGCTAAGGTTTTGTCCCAAGCGCTTTACGATGTAATCCATACGCCCCAACTTATCCACTTAACACACAGAATAGTTTTAGTATAATCCTAGGGTTTTGACACCATCACCATAATCAGTTTTAGAAAGTTTCTGAGTCTTCAAAAGAAGCTGTGAGCCTTTATCAGTCACTCCCCATTTCTTCCTACCTAGTCCTGAGCCCTGGACAAGGACCAGGTACTTTTGACATCATTGTGTCAATGGAGAGAAGATCTGGCAAGCTGCTATCACTTAGTTAAGTATTTCCAAGGTCTGTATGTGGTGTAGTGTGTAGTAGGATAATATTATTTCTATGCATAAATATATATTGTGCAGATTTATTCACCTGTTTATTAGTTTGTGAGCAGTTTTGGCATAGTAAGTAATGCTGCTATGAGCATTCTTATACAAGGTTTATTTATTTGTTTGTTTGTTTGCTTATTTATTGATCCATTTAGTGAGGATACCTGTTTGATTTTCTCGATCATACATTAGCTATGTTATTTGAAGAACTATCAGATCTTTCCTAAGTGTTTGTGCCATCAACCACTCTCAGCAGCATTAAATAGATTTGGTTTTTGCATTTAGGTCTTCGATAAACTTTTCACAATTACATTTATTTTAGTGTGTGTGTACATGCGGGCATGTGGGCATGGTGTGTGCGTGTGTGTGTGTGTGTGTGTGTGTGTGTGTGAGAGAGAGAGAGAGAGAGAGAGAGAGAGAGAGAGATCAGAGTTGCTTCTTTCTTTCCTTCCTATCCATCCTGTAAGCCTGGAGATTAAAACTCAGTTCATCAGGTTTGGCTATCTGTTGAGTTGTTTGGCGGGCTCTGGTACATTTTGTTGAGAAATGGTATTTTTTTTCCTTTTACCTGTGGGTGTCCAGCTGTCCCTTTACAATTTGTCGAGAAGCCCATTCTTTCTCTCCTGGATTGTCTTGGCATGCTTGTGGATAATCAGCTGGCCATCAGTGTGGAGGTTTCTTCTCATCTCTGTTCTTGTCCGTTCATCTATGTGTTTATCCTATTTCATTTCTAAACTTGGATTACTGTAGCCCTGGAGCGGGCTTCAAATCGGAAAGTTTGAGCCTGCCAGCATGGTCTGTTTTAAAGACATTCTTATTATTTTAGATTCTTTGAATTTCTGGACCAGTTTTAGAATTCATTTGTTGATTTCTGCAAAGGAGTCAGCTGAGATATTCAGGCATCACACTGAATTGTTTTCTTGTTTTGCTTTAAAAAATCTTTTTATTATTTGAGAAGTTTTAGATGCACATAATGTCTTTTGGTCAAATCCATCCCTAATTCCACCCTCTGATTCCTTCTTCATTTTCCCCACCCTCAACTTCCTGTGCTTTGCTCTATGGGTATGGGTGTAGGACCAGCTACTGAAGCATGTGTCTCTCCATGAGCACATTCTTAAAGAGAACTGAGTTTCCTTCTATGAGCAGTCATCAGTTACCAAAAGTTCCTTGGCTAGGGGAGGGGCTTCATGAGCCCCTGTCCCTTCTGTGCTGGGATTTCGGCTGATTTATTCTTTGGTCGTGTGCCTATGACTCACAGTCATAACCACTGTGAGTGCATGTGTGTAACAGCCCTGTGGAACACACCAGGCACACAGGTCAGTTTGATCTGTGTTGTCATCTAAACAATAGTGGGTCTTCTAATCCATGAACACAGTTGTCTCTTGATTGACTTAAATCTTCTATAATTTCTTTCAACAATATTTTTCTTTTAAGAGTTATAAGTTACTTAGCGATTTTTTTACCTTCATATGAGAAATTGCAGTAATCCCCCCTGACTCCCTTCTCCCATCCTTTCTTCCAGTGGAGCCCCTTCTTCTCCACAAATCCCCCTCTCCCTCTCATATCTTCTTCTTGTGTTTGACCCACTGAGTTTAATTAGTTTCCTGCCCTACCTCATCCATATTTGGGTTGTAAATTATAGAAGTCTTTTGTTAACGGGCACATTTTTCGTAGTAGGACATGAAATAAAATAAAACATAAAATTTGCTATTTTAAGGTATCATTTGGTGTCATTAAGAGCATCCCCATGCCTGTGCACCCTTCACCCACCACTAGAATGCTTCCATTCATCCAAATGAAACTCCCTGCCATTAAGCACCACCTTGTCCCTGCCTCCTCCTCTGAGAGCCTAGCAGCAAGAGTCCCACTTTCTGTCTCTAGAATTTGATCACTCTGAATCCCTCGAGAAGAAACCTACAATACATGGTCTTGTAAGCAGAACCTGATCAAGCTGTCACAGCCAGACTCGAGTGAGCAGAGCCAGGAATTAAATCTTAAGGATGTGCTTTACTTAGAGCAGTAATCTGAAAAGACGGTGGATTCCTATCCTAGAGATCTAATTCCGGCTTTATCTCCAGACAGCAGACTCTACAGGGAGAAAGGACTGGGTGGAACAAAGGCAGTCATCGGCCGTTCTGTAACTCAGCCTTGCCCCTCTGGTCAGGCGGTCAGCCATGTTTTTGAGACTTATGATGTCTGTGTGTTTCTCATGCTCTTTGTCCTTGCGCTCTACCCTCACTCAGTGCCTGGGCTCAGGCAATCTTTGAGACCCGAGTCAAGTTGGGTTCTACTGGCATCAACATTGTACTCTTCCAGGGTCATGGAGGGGGGGCTTTAGGGGAGGGCTAACGCGCAACAGAGCACTAGCAGGTGTGTACTCGCTCAGCTAGGGATTTCTACAATCCAGAGTACAAGTGTGTCTTTGTAATACAGAGACTGAAGACGCGCCCTGCTGTTCTTTCTGTCGTCTCTCCGGCTTTTATGTGTATGTGCTTGTTACACATAGCGCAGTGTCTTCAAGGTTCATCTACACTGCGGCCTGTGGCAGCATCCCTTCCCTTCCAAAGGCTGCAATTGCACTTGTCAGCGGTTTCATTTGCTGTTGATACTTGGTTCGTTGCCCCTGTTCGGTTCTTATGAGAAACACAGTGTTAACATGGATGCATATGAGTCTATCTGAATCCTACTTTTAGTTCTTTTGGACGAATCCCAGAAGCAGAGTTTCTGAATCATCTGGTGATTCTTTTTAAATTTGGGGTTATAGATAATTTTAATGTGCTATTTTTCTGTTTTCTGATTTATAGTGAGATAATAGACATTATTTTTTTTAAAATAATAATGATGTGAATACAGTCTGTATAGAAAGTGGACAATGGTTCTGCGACCCTCTCCTCCATCTCTCGGGATCTGCAGACCTGCTGTGTTTGCAGTGGAGACGATACATGTTCCTTGGAGTTATTTTATGACCATGTGGTAACTTATCTCCTTCTGTCTGCAGCCTCGTGAGTCACAGCAAATACCCTAGATGTCTTCTGTAGCAATAAGGCTTGACTCTCGAGTATTCTGCAATCCCCACCACCACCACCACCACTCAGTGCAGAGGCATTGACCTCCCTCAACTCTGGACGCTTCAGCTATTGACGCTCCGACACTGTGGTCTTCCTTTTCCCAGGCAGCGCGTAAAATGGGCAGGGCCGAGTTCAACCGAGAAGCCTAGCTGAACAAGCCAACACGCAAATGAGAACAAGAGCCCCGGGACTTTCCTAAGACAAACAGAGGATCTGGAAGAACAATATTTAGCAGAACTCAAAGCTTCCCCTTCCAGATTAAGACAACAACTTGGAGCAGATGACTTAAAATATTTAAAACCCACTTTAGTGTTAATCCAAAAGAGCTTTTTAATTTTTTATTTTTTTCTCATCACAGTTCCAGACAAGGTACTCAGGAATGGAGTTTGAGAGAGGTGTTGTGGACAGACACTTTCATTGCAAGGCAGGTGTTCTAGCCACCCTTTGTGTGACCTCCTCTCCACCTTTGGCAGGTCCCCTCTATCACCCATCCCTTCTCTTGGTTTCATCCAGCTCCCCAACTGCGTCATTTCCTGTGGAGTTGCCGCTGTCCCCCAAGTCCTCAGGATTGGACTGAGTCCTCTTAGGAAATCAAGCTACAGACATTTGCCCTTTGGCAGAAGTGAGTCAAGGCTGGAGGGCAATCGTCAGACCTTCCTCTTCTGTAGGACAAACTCTCCAACAGCTGACGCCACAAAGTTCAGATGCAAACGGAAGTGACCCGGCTCTGGCCCCCGGCCAAGGGTGGACTGAAAACAGGAATGGAACTGTAGGGAAGAAGCCACAGAGTCCGGATATACAATGTTTCCAGAGGAGTCATCTTGGCCTTAAGTCCCAGATGGCCCAGATTTGAGTTTGGGTCAAGAAGCTCCAGCTATTACACAGACTAGTCTCTCACATCCTAGCAGACAATGGAGCCTGGTAAACATTTCAGATCAAAGACCAAAATCTTGTTATCTCTTGAGACTGTCAAACTAAGAGTGCATATATATATATATATATACACATATATGTGTATTAAATATCCAAATTAAATATATACACATATATTTTTATATATTTGTGAATATATTTTATTTGAAATGTATATATGCTTATATTTATATACACATGTATATATTCAACTTAAAAAGAAAAATATATTATTGTATGTATATGTGTGTTCTTTTATATGTGAGGTGTGGAGAGGTATATATGTTCCATGCTATATATGTAAAAGAGGACAACCTTGAGTCAATTCTTTCCTACCTTGTAGGACCCAGGAATTAAACTCAAGTGTCCAGGTTTGTCCTCCAATATCCTTTATCCACTGAGTCACATTGCAGGTTCAACAGTAATCTTTGAACTGTTAAAATCGTTGATGGGAGTGGAGTTTTATTTTGGGAAAATGGAATTATTCTAGGAGTGAATGGCAGCAACACTTTTACAGACTCAAGAATGCTGGCTATCAGCCATCCAAGACCAACCCATGGCCTGTGAGCTACATCCAGCAAGGACAGCTTGCAATGTGGACCACCACAAGACTGCAAACTCATCTACGGTTTCTCTCCTTCCTCTGTCCTCTCTCTCTTCTTATTGGCTAACTCTTATATCTTAATTTAGCCCATCGCCATTAATCTGTGCATCACCACAGGTTGTGGCCTACCAGCAAGGTTTCAACGCGTCTGTCTCTGGCGGCAGCTCCATGGCAGCTTCTCTTACTCTACCTTCTTTCTCTCAGTATTCAGTTTAGTTTTCCCCACCTACCTAAGTTCTGCCTTGTTATAGGTCCAAAGCAGTTTCTTTATTCATTAATGGTAATCACAGCATACAGAGGGAAATCCCTCACCAGACACTTAATTAGAGTGGCCATTCTTCATTTAAAAAAAAAATGTATTATTGAGAGGAAGGAGGGGGGTCCTGTGTGTGACTCCTGGTGCTCATGTGGATATCAGATGTGATGTGGACATCACCTTTGGGAGTCAGTTCTCTTCCGCCTGTGGGTGCAGGGTCTTTCATGTTTCTGTGATGCTGTGTACTTCAGCCTAGCTGTCTCTCAAGCTTCTGGGTGACTCACTTGCCTGGACCTCCCGACCTGCTGTAGAGATCTCAGGATTACAGGTACATGCTGCCGAGTTTGACTTTTTACATGGGTTCTGGGGCTCAAACTTATGTCACCAGGCCCGCACAACAAGCACTTTGTCAGTTACTGAGTCATCTCACAGGCCCGAGACTAATCATTCTTCTAGTCTCAAAAAGAAAAGAAGATCCAGGTTCAGCCCCACGAGAAGGACTTGCCCCATGGGGAATTTGGATACTTGTTCAAGACAAATTTTATATGAACAAGCATGGCTGGGATGCTGTGCACCCCCTGACACACACTCCTTACACTCATGATCAGACTCCCAGGCTCCGTTCTGAACCATGGTTATAGCCCAAGGCCGAAGACATCTTCAAAACCTTATTGCTGCCTTGTGGAAGGATAGTCACGTGAGGTCTCAGGGTCAGAGTGACGCTCTGTGGATGGAGCAACAGGCAGTTTGGAAGAAGACTGTACGTACAGCTACCGCACAGAGCTGGAGAAGGCTATGGTAGGGAGGACTACCGCTTTAACAGGAGCCCAGTGGGAAGGGAGACAGGTGGTTGTCAGAGGGGATCTGGGTGATGGGATTCCATCAGTCAGAGGACTCATGGGTCAAGGGTCAGGGTGAGAGAAGGTGACCACTGAACAGAGAAGTACGGGCTTTGAAGCCAGAGCACGGTGTTCAAATCCCGGCTCTGTCATTTGCTAGCCATTTGGCTAGGTAAGATGAAGTTCCTTTCTCACTTCTACAGAATGAGAATGCTGATTGCTACCACACTAAGATGCTGTGAGGGTGAAATTGTAGCTGCTGCCAAGCTACAATTACATTATAAGATCGCATTACATTATAAGAAATTGACTGTCATGTTCAAAATTTGACAATGAAATTTCTTTCTTTTGAAGTTTTATATGTACGAATGCTTTGTTTACATGCATGTCTGGCCATCAGATACATGTTTGGTGCCTCCAGTGGTTCCGGATCCCCTGGAACTGGAATTATAGGTGGCTGGAGACTGCCATGTAGGTGCTGGGAATCAAACCTGGATCCTTGACAAGAGCAATAAGTACCCTTAATTGCTAAGCCATCTCTCCAGTTCCTCTCTCTGTTTTTAATCATCCATTTCAAAACCATCTGAGGGCAGGAAATAAAGGACACAAAACAAACAGTGCTCCCAAGCTCTCAGGCAGATGCTGACCATCCAGGGTGTGAGCCTTCCCCAAGACCTGTGACATAATGCTCTCTTTATTTCTCGTCCCTCAAACTGCACAACTCGGGAGGGTTGGGCCCAGAGGAAACGCTGCCAGGTGCCAAAATGACAATGTGTTACAGATGATGACTTGCAGGGATTCGGGAAGCAGAGGACAACACATTAATTTGTGTTTTTTATTTCTGTTTAATGGTTCACAAAACTAATAATCAAGAAACCCGTTTGGCTGAAAAACATCAGCGATGAGTAGACGAACATCAGTTTCTGTCACACTCGCCCTTTGCTGGTGGTTTCAGGAGTTGGAGATCGGATGGCTTAGCAGTTCAGCTACTGTGGAAGGGATTTCACAAGCTGCGGGCTCTCTCTGCTGCCTCCCAGACAGCAGGGCTTGTTTAAACAAGCACAGGTCAGAGACAAAGATTCCTAATCGTCACTTTCAACCCATTTCTCCTACTGGGCGCTTATGAGACTTTGATTAAGCAAGGTAAATTGGATACTGTCACTGTCCCTCAGGACAGCTTGTCATGAAAAATATTTAGGGGCTGTTTCAATGTCAAGTAGCAACAGCCCTATATCGGAACCACAGTGTGAGGGAGTCCAGAGCAAAAGCAGCCCACCAAACGAGGGTGTCATCAGCGGCAGCTCTCTGGAGCTATAGTGTCATTAACTAAGGCTTTGCGTCTCAGATGTAAAAGATACTGCAGGGGAAGACAGAGACAGGCAGTCTGCAGAGTGGCCAAACGAGGGTCTGGAGGAAAGGACTCGCTGGCACCCAAGTCAGAGTCTAGTCGGGCCTTAAAGGAAGGTTCTGAACGCCATCAAATAATTGCAGACTCTCACTTAGGGAAGTATAAAGCAAGAAATACAGGCCAGTCTGATTTGCATTTAAAAAGGATTTTTAAGGTGTGTGTGTGCACGTGTGTGTGCATGCGTGTGCATGCAAATGTGAGAGAGAGAGAGAGAGACAGAGACAGAGACAGAGACAGAGACAGAGACAGAGAGAATACTGGTGCTTGTGAAAGCCAAACGAGGTTATCAAATACCCTGGTGTTAGCATCACGGCCAGCTGTGAGCCTGCTGACACAGGTCCTCTCTATGAGCACTTACTGCTTTCAACTGCTGAGCTTGTCTCTTGATTGGCATTTCAAGTAGACAGCTTGTCAGGCACAGTGTGGAGGATGAGCAAGATGAGCTGCACAAGGCCTATGTCCCTCCCTCTGAAACCTGGCGATCTGTCTGTGATAAGTTCCGCTGGTAGTGCCGGTTGCTTACTTGGCAGGAAGCTGTACTGGAAGCTGGTAGGTCCTAGGTACCCTGCTATGGCAGTGGAGAACACAGGGGTTCCAGCCCTCCTGGTGGATGAGAGAGAAACCAGGTATTTCTGTATTGTGGAGCACGTCCGACTTATTAGCAATTCCCCATGTCCTTATTTAAGGTGGCTGGGCAGCAGAAACTGCTTCTGCCATGAAGCCTGCTACTCACAGTCAAGTCCTGCACTTGTCTGTGGAGGAAGTCAGAGGAGAGGATGCTATTTGAACATCATCTTTGCCAGAAGGAAGGGGGCAGAGGAACGACATGAGGGTTCTCAGGTATGTGTGACATTTCCCACCAGGATCAGCTCCCCAGATCTTTAAAGCAACATTTGGTTACCCAACTTGACCCTACCTTCTTTCCCAGCCCTACACTTTCATACAACTGTCATGCAGTCAGTTCACACAAGCATCTTCAGAAACATATGAGTAAACATGTGTGATGTCTGTACTTCTAGGCAATAGAGGAGAATCGGGTTCAATAAATAACCTTGCAGGATCAGTATTGGGCATATGTATTTGTGACACCAGTCCTAACAGAGCTATAACAGAAAGGTCTATTCACCCCAGCTAGGGAACTGATGGCAGATCAAAGCAATGATACAACTGAAATACAACTTGTGAAGCAATAAGAATATTAGGGTTGCTTAGAGAAGTATGGGAAAGGGGCTGCTTAAGGAAACAGGAATGAGTTAAGTGCAGTTGTATCACTGAAAGCCCTGCCCAGCA